TAATAGCATAATCTATTTGCAACTATTTATCAAGACCTCTACTTCATAATAACATTTATCAGTTTACAATTTTCCTTAAATAGTATGATTATAGTGTTGATTTGTTTGGAGACTGGTTTGAATTTGTTTAATCGTTTTCGAATATGTGCAGGTCTGAAGAAAACATATTGGATTACTTGCAATGTGGAACCAGATATACAGCAACTGTCGCTTGATAAGGGTAGATTTCCGAGTGGCTTAGTCGTGCATCCTCGGAATCTGAGCAAGTTGCTTGGAAACTTCCAGTCATCCCTCCAAGAGATTACAATAATTGCTACAGACCAAACTTCATTTTCATCTGATGCTGCAAGTGAAATAGGTGGAAAAGCTGTTGAATTCCGGAGCTATGTGGATCCGACCAAAGGTTAGGGCTATTGAATGATGCAAAGACTGGATTAATCACGCTCCTTGTGTAAGGCTGTTAACATTTCTCTTTTCCAAAATGGAGATGGTGATTCTTTGCTACATACTCAGCTATGGATAGACCCATCAGAAGAATTTTTGCAGTATACTCATGCAGGTGATCCTGTGGACATCACATTTTCCTTGAAGGAACTGAAGGTATAACATTCCTCCACCTGAAGTCCGGTTTAAATTTTATCCACCTTTTTTGTATGTATTAAATGTCTTCAATAAATTTTCAGGCATTTCTTTCATTTTGTGAGGGCTGTGAGGCGGACATTCATCTTTTTTTCGAGAAAGCTGGCGAGTAAGAACCATTTCCTTTCCTTGATGTGTCTCTCTCTTAATAAATCCATCTTTCTGTGTAGCCTTGATATCTTTTAAACTAAGAGCAAATTGATTCCGGACAATACTTCAAAAAGTGGTTATGGTTTATAACAAATGCATGTGCTTCTCAAATATGCTAGTTAAATCCCCCATTTAAACACCATACTTTGTTGCCAGGCCAATACTGATGGCTCCAAAATTTGGCTTCGGTGATGGGTCAAGCTCAAGTTTTGATGCCACACTCGTTCTTGCGACAATGCTTGTATCTCAGCTTCAGGAAGGGGTTCCACCAGAAGCAGCAAACTCCACAGGTGGCCACGCTGCCGAGCAAGTAGGATCAGAGCCTCAAGAACGGTCTAGGCAGAGTACTTCTGAGCACCCATCTGATCACACACGAGTTTGGTCTGAACTTTCAGGTAGTAACTAATATAATGGTTGTGATTTGTATTCATTGTATTGTCTGATAACTAAAGCATTAGTAACATTAATTCTGGGAAGCAGGAATTGCTAGTAAGAGCGTTAACGGTTCTGAGGAGAGGCCACAGGCTCAGGGACAACCAGACTTGAATATCCAAAGAATTAGAGATATGGAAATATCAAGAGGTAGACCAGCTGGAGACAACGCTCCCGGACCTTCTAACTCGTATCCTTCACGCGTTACATCTCTCACTATCACCATTGGCCGATTTAGTTGTTAAGCATTAAATCATAGTCCATAATCGAGTAGAAATTTCTAATTCTGTAGTTGCAATTGGCTTCTAAGGTGCATTTCATAGCATCCCCCCATAATCCAAAATGACATATCTCCAGTGACTGTTATTCTATGTATGCTTTGTTATCTTTGACTATTTGTCAGCCAACGTCCCACACAGATGGATCACGCTGAAGGATTCCGAGGTACCTGCAACACACAGATGGATCATGCCGAAGGATCCCGAGGTACCTGCAAAACCATTTTTACAGCCTTGTCTCTGTCTTGTCTTCTTACTTATTCAAAAAAGTATTCACTTCTCGGTCACTTGTTCCGCAGTACGGGTTGAGAACAACCAACCCTTCTCCCAGCGTCATCCTAGTAACTGGGTAGATGCTAGTGAGGATGAAGATGATGACGACGAAGCTGTTGAGGCGACGCCACCTCACAATGAAGATTATTAACTCAAGTCCGTTCTCCTTGAAGTTTTCCTCATCTCATTCAACTGTAAGTTATCTACCACTCTCTCTTAACCATTCCAATTTCTTTAGCCTAAATCATTTACAGGAGAAATTAATCAAAAGTACTTCCCTTGCCTGCTAGTAACCAAAAGTTCTTCTTGGCTAGCTTGCGCGAACAAGGGTTACTCTTAAGCTCTTAACTGTTGTTGTTCAACCAGCGGATCTGATATCTTATTTGACCTCATTCTACATTCTTTTTACCAGGAATAGGATCCGAAGAAAATCATGGAAATTGGGATAGAACATACAAGTAAAGTAAGGCATTGAGATTCTTGCTTTATTCCCAAACATATACATATAATTCTCTGAATTTTCCGGTAAAATATCTCTCTCGCTACATCGAATAGAATAGAAGAAAAAGGTGAAACTATATGCATTATATGTGTAGTGTTAGGTGCTTCAACCACTACAGTCAGACATGATCCTTTCTTGGCTAAACTTCTTAATCGCGTGCTGTGTTTGTTCAGTCCTCTTTGTTTGTTATGCATTTGCTTTTCTTTCCATCTTAACACAGAAAATAGAATGCAACACACCTTGAACCTCTGCATCTACGCATATATTCTTACTACCCATCGTCTATTTGCTTTTCCTCCAAATACAACTATTAATTTGTCGTCTATAAGTGTGTGTTTCAAATGCAGTCTCATCTCTTTTCACTTTTCATGAATTCCCTATAAAAGCAATGAGAGAATAAAATGAGTCATACATTTTTTTAATGTTCTTCAAAGGTACCAACGACTCTATCTCTCTTTAAATAAGCAAAAGATAGCGAACAAGTCCAACGAAATAAAAGAAAAGGGACAATTAAAAAATTATGTTTCTTGCTCCTTTTTAAGATCTCATAGAAATATCAAACTTTGAAAGTAGGCAATTTTCTTCATTTTTAATTTAATGAGAAAGATCTCTCTTTTAAAAAAGTTCGTCCACTTGATAAAAGATGTGGAATAAGAAACAGGTCCTCCATAACTTGGAATCTTGTTTGTTTTTTCTTTCGTGATTTCCTCATCATTGGTATCTTATTCGTGATAGCCTCATGGGAAAAGTATTGAGCCTTCTTTGCATTACATTTTCGTTTTATGTACCTAACCACCTTCTTAATTTTTCGCTTCCATCAATTATTCCGTATTCAAAATTTATACAAGCATTTGTCATCGTCTTTCTAATCATTACTACATTTTATAAAATCTTACTATATGATTGTTAGTAAATCTATCAAATATTTGAAAATACAATCGAATAAAAGAAAATGTTTATAATCACACTAACAAAACATCAGATTATGAGTTTCGAACAAAATATTTAAAAAAGTTAAAAGGAGCCAGCTGGCTCTTGGGATAACTTGGTAACGCGCAAACGCCGTCCCTGGTGATCTGTGACATGGGCCCCACTTTGTTCTTAACGGTTTCGTCGCACGTTACGCGCCGCCTCTCTCTCGCCGACGTTATACCGAAGGGAAAATGATGGATGGTAGTAATAAAAAGACAAACTAGCCGTTGCTCTCTCAATTTAAAATTCGAGTATGGGTATTGGGTAAAAAGATCCTGTAAAAGCATTGTACGTTCTTTAAACAAGTATATAAACTTATGTGATAAGGTGGTTGGAAAAAATATTCTGCAATAAGAATGAAGCTTTATCGATCATCCTTTAAGTTATATATATCTAAACACATGGATTGTTGTGTATATCCATGTATTTATGTTGATAGTCAAACTAAACTTATTGGATTATAACATCATTCTATCTAAACGAATGTCAACCGTGCTACCATGAATGGTGGTAGTCTAGATTATTAACAATGTTTAAAGAGTGGTTTACATGTCTTTACATTGGCTTTTCAACCAAGTTTGTCTTTACCAATCTTTGAGTATAAATATGCACCCAATTTGGGATATAATTTAGTTAATTAAAAAAAAGTCAAAAACGAATTAATTAGA